AAGAAAAAATAGTAAAAAGCAATAAATACAGTTTTTAAGAAAGGGATTTATGGCATCCACATTTTTTATGAGAAAAAGGGCACACACTTTGTTCAAGCTAGACAGGTCTAAAAGTTCCCCACTCCACTCCAATTTACAGAGGAGGAAACTAAAGCTCAGAGAGGGGAAGTGACTTGTCTCAAGTCACACATCAAGTTACTAGCAAAACCAAAATTAAAACTCAGATCTGCTGATTCACAGTGCAATGTGGATTTTCTACATCACAATATTTTCTTCTACACTATAATATTCACTAGCTAAAGGGAATGACTATTTTATTATTAATATATACTTCAGTTCTATATTATACCATACTAAAAAAGAAATTGGCTAAGTAAAGAGAGGAGGTAAGGAAGAAAATGCATACAACAAGTTGCTAAAAGAGTTATACATGAAGACTATATGCATATACCACACTACCTCAATTCTGACACACATTAAACTTTAAGACATAGTATCCATTTCATAAACACTTTAAAATAAATATAGCATTGAAAATACATCATTTCAAAAAATACTAAAATGTGAAAACACGCCTCTAAATGTAATATAATGCACTCTATAAGACACAAAAATCACTATCACTTAAGATAGTCATAAGGCACAAACAGAGCAAGAATCCCTTCTTCTAAGGTAACAAAATACCTAAGGCTATGTGGCATTTCTTTCAATTGCAGGTATTCACATAAACAAGTTCTTCTTGCCATTTGTCTCATATGCATACGTTTTGGAGTTTGACAAAGCAAGGTTTGAATCTCACCTCTGTCACTTAGTTCTTCAACCTTTGGAAACTTACTACTCTACTCTGAGCCTCATTCTCTTCATCGGTAAAGTGGGAAAGCCACCTTAGAGAATTGTATGAAAATTAAATGTGAAAATTTAAGAGAAAAAGTATAGTACCTAGATGAAATACCAAGTTTTCTCCCACAATTCCTATGGGCCAAATGAAACTGAACTAAAAACTAGAACCTATTCTTGACTTACAAGATTCCTCCCCTCTCCTTTAGAGATTGAAATAAATCAGTACTGTGTCATAGAGCAAATCCTTCCAGTTTCCTTTGGAGAAATTTGATGAAAAAAGCTTACATCCTTGAAATTTGTCTCTTTTCTTCTTCAAATTGGGAACAGAAAACAATGACAAATTTTCAGTGTTTCAGTTAGTTTTATGCAAATTTAGCACTTCCATATTGTTTTACTGAACTGAGACTCTAAGCCCATTACAAACCCACTGGAGAGAGGAACTACAGAACAAATGTGTGGGAAGGGACAAGAGTATAAGGCCAAAACACAAAGTTGAAATGACTCAACTTTATGGGTGGTTTGGTGTCTTTTTAACCTATAATTCAGTCATTAATCACAAAGAAAACAATGTTCAGAAGAGCCCAAACCGTATCTTCATGATTCAGTAACCTGATCCCTCAGATTAAGCACACGCTATCTTTCAACATGTAGTTTCAGGACTTTTGCACAGGTAACAACACAGTCTTTCCAAGATGGGAATGTGACTACCAAAGAGGCTCATATGCAGTAGGCAGTGAAGTAAGGTAGTCTTTTTCTCTGACCCCAAACATAGTTCAGATTAGCATTAGCCCACCCGCATACTCCCTATTACCTCATTTCAGGTGAATAATTTCCCCCCACTAATTACAAAAATAATAATGCTCATTTTTTTATTTGAAAAAATACTAAAGTACAAGCATTTTTAAACCACCCACAATCTTACCAGCCAAAGATTAGAATATTACAAAGGGACATGGCAACATCTTTTCTATGAATTTGACCATAACTGTGATCATACCAAATTTTACACTTGTATAGAGCACTTGTCTTAAACATGATGAACTATTGGCCTTTATTTTAATATCTTCAGGCTTTCTTGAGACTAAATTCACATTACTTTTTTCCTTACTTAACTCAATGGTTTCTTCTCAATCCTTATTCTTCTGAGTCTCTCAGCTACATAGTTTGCTGCTACTTCCTCTTTCTTAAAATTCTAAGTTTCCCTAGACAGTATATTCCTCAGTGTCTACAAAAGTCCCTCCAACTAATCTTTCTTCCCTAGCTCTCTTCTGTTAACTCATGACAATCTCTAAAAAAATGGCTCAGACCTGACCTTTGGATTTGCTACCAACTTTGAATCTCCAGCACTTAACACAGTACCTGACATGAAACAGATGCTCAATTAATGTTTACTGACTGCCTGTGCCAATCCTGACCTTTATTAGCTATGGGACCTTGGGCAAATTAAATCTCTCGGAATCTCAGTTCCCTCATCTATAAAATAGGGTTAATCAAAGGAAGATGATGCTTAGAAGGCTCAAAACAATGTCTGGCACCAATTAGCATCCAACAAATTACAGTACTATTATCAACATAATCTAGTGCAGGACCAAAAATGTTTATTATACATAGTTGAACACCCAATCTACCTCTCAACCCAAGTTACTTTCACCATATTCTCTTATAACTATCAAAAAATATTTTTGTGCTCTTTCCTTTACTACCTATCTCCAACCCATCATCAACTATTCTAATTCTTCTCTCTTACCACCACAAAGAATCATCATTTATCAACTAAGCTACAATAGACTTAGTTGAAGTCCACACCTTAAATCTTCATTCAAACTTTCAACAATCTTTTAAAGCCATTTTTAATTTGTCACTCATTATAATTCTTATGTCTTCCAATACCCATATCCCAATTCCTAGTTCAAAAGACGGTTCAAAACTCACCTCTTCCGGGAAAACTTCCCTGATTAACTCCACACCACTCAGATTACTTCTCTGCTCTGAGTCGCCTCAGCACTGAGGTATTCTGCTATACTTAGAGTAAAATGTGATCAATGAATAGCATTACCAAGAAATGCCTTCCACAAAATTATTTCTACATCCTAAAGAATTATCCATTAGTTATAACGCTTTGATCTAGTTAATAAGGAAGCACACTATATAACGAATGCCCTCTTTGGTTTATATCTTGACCCTACTATTTTATGTTTGTCAAAAGTGCTGAACACTTCACAATCTTTTTGTCCTATCCTCAAGCAGAAATTATACCTCAGTGCCTACCACCTCCTCCAACTTAAATCTACTGAAAATTTGGTAGTGAGCCACTCTTTCTTTTTTATTACCTCATCTCTGACCCCAACCTCTGCCCTTACCCCACAAATAAAAATTCAAAAGCTTGAAAAAGGAAAGGCAGTAGCAGTGATAGACACATACCATGCCTGTCTTTGCTCTAAATGAAAAGAACTTTGAACCTATTTCGCTATAAAACTTCCCAAGGCTGAAAATTTTCCCAGCAAGCATGATAACCAAATGCTACTACATCAAAACGGTTGATCCTATTGAATAACAGTATTGTACTTACAGTTAACTCTCACTTGTGTTACTGTAAGAGATCTTGCATCATTTTTATGCTAATATTACACACGCCCAACAAGATAGTTGAGAAACTCCCCTATAGGGCAGATTTTCTAAAAGTATCTTCTGACACTGTTTTAACCAACATAAACATTTTTTTTTAACGTAAAGAATTAAGCGATTCTTCACCGCCATCCAATCAAAAGCAAACAACTTGTGCCATTAATTCTGAGAGTGAGCGTGTGGGCTGCAGAGGCAAAACAATTAGATGAACTGTCAAGAAGGATTGGGGAGGGAGATCGATCAGCCTCAGTACTGAGAGTTAATCAAGTCTGAGCGTTTAGGCCCTCGATGCCTACAGTGAATGAACCCAGGAACCTGGCCGACTGGCTCCTTCCTGAGGCATTTGGCTCTCCTTTCTCTGCCAAAGCCGACAGTTATTATTACTCACTCAAAAGATCCACACCCTTCAGCTACCATACATAAACCTACCTTGACTGCTCCTCGTATACTTTCCCTTAACTAGCCACCTCACGCTTTCTAGTTAAACAGCCATGGCCACATCTCACCTAAAATCTTCTCTCAGTCACCTTCCGGTTTCAGTAGGTGCTTCTTACTCCAGATCCACGTGTCCCCAATTGTCCACCTCTCTTCACCTTCCTGTCGTCCCTTCACTCCCAGCTGATT